TTATATATGAGAGCTGAGGATCGAACCCAGTGCCTCGCACGTGCTAGGCAAGTGCTCTACAACTGAGCCACAGCCACAGCCTCTGGCATAAAATTTTCATTACCATATCTTTGTTGTAAGTTTTGAAATGAGGAAGTGTGGGACCTCTTACTGTTCTCCTTAAGGCAAAAGCTACTCCTGGCATCCACTATTCTTCATTCTTTATCACAAACTTATGAAGTAGATACTAATATCTTCATTTCGTAGTTGAGAAAAATTGAGACTTGGGGAGACAGAATTTCCTAGAGTCACTCACATTGCAAATAGAAGAGCTAGGATTTGAATTCTGGGGCTTTCATGCCAGTGCCCAGAAACTTATCCCCTGTGTTCTCCCACTCTCTGCCCAGTGACCATTATGGTAGCATTGAAATGTTGCCAAATTGACACATTTATCTTCACTATACAAGGACATAACACCCCTGAGAAATGGCATAAGGAAGCAGCTAATGATCAGAGAAGTGAAATGGTTTTCCCATGTCCAGCAGCTTGTCAGTAGAATTTCTGGGACCTGAATTGGGTTTCCCAAATCCAAGTGCAGCCTCCTACAGCATGGTGCTTTGCAGCTACATTCTTGTCTTTATTCCCAAATACTTGTTTCTTCAGACTTCTCCTTCCTGCATAAAGATACCCTTCCCTTTCCTCTACCTTCCCCTACCCCTGGATCCCTTCCAAGGCATAGTGTGGGAACTGAGAGATGAAAGCCCTAGAGCTCAGGAGCTGAGGTGTTAGGCATGCTAAGGCAGGGAACAGGAAGCTGGCATTATCTCTCTCAGGTCAGCTTCTTGAAGGAAGGGTATGCCTGGCCAGAATTATTGTGCAGGCTCCTCCTGATCCTTCCTACTCTACTCCTCCATTTTCAGAGAAAAGAATAAAGATAAGGAGGGCAAGAGTCTCTTCCAATGTGTCTTAGCAGAAGCAGAAAAACTTATGGAGGGGGGCACTAGGTGTAAGATGTGCAGCCCAGAAAGGTTGTTGAAGAATCAGCCTTATGTCATATCCATTACTACCTCACCCTATTGTCCATGAGCTCCAAGTTAGGAGGCCAACTATCTCCCCACAGGTGCCTGCATCTTGGGGACTGTGTGTAAAGTGCAGAGAAGCCTAAAGAATCCCTCAAAACACAAACACACACACACACACACACACACACACGCACGCGCGCGCACACACACACACAATGAATTCTAAGATGCAGCCCTAACCTGAAGGAGGGTAGGATTTGGTACAGTGATTTTTGCAAAGGGCACGGGGGTTACTCCTCTAGAAAACATAACCCTTATAATTTTTAAAGAGTTTCCACATCTCTTCAGGTCATTTGATCTCCCCACCTATACTGTAAGGCACAGGTGGGGTCACTACCACAGACCAGAGGCCAATCTTCTCTACTGCCCCTTTCTTAGATTCCATTCTTCCACATATGGAGCTGGGTGGGAGCTGGACCCAGGTGGACCCTGGAGAAATCTTCTCTAGCAACTACCTTGTTATGGTTTAGATTTTAAATTTTTCCCACATTTTAGGCTTGGTCCCAAGGTAACAGGGTTCAAAGGTAGGGCCTTTGGGGAAGTAATTGGATCAAGAGGGCTTTATCAATGGATTCATAATTTAATGGGCTATTGGGTAGTGATGGAAACCTATGAGGTGAGGTCTAGTTGGAGGGAGTGGCTACTTAGGGACTATAGTTTTTACTGGCCCCTCTCTCTTTCTGCTTCCTGGCTACCACAAGGTAAGCAGTTTTGCTTCACCACATACTCACTGCTATGATCTTATGCTTTGCCAAAGGTCCAAAGTGATGAGACAAGTGACAATGGATAGATGCCTCTGAAATCATGAACCAAAATAAAACTTTCCTCTCAGCCATTTTTCTCAGGTATTTTGTCACAGTGATGAAAAACTGACTAACACATATTTCCTTAGGAAAAGAACCTTCTCTACTCTGTACCTCCCCCAGTCCCTAATGCTCAACCCAAGCAAAGGGCTTCAGCTTCATCCTTGAACTCTTTTTTTTTTTTTTATTGGTTGTTCAAAACCTTACACGGCTCTTGACATATCATATTTCAAACATTACATTCAAGTGGGTTATGAACTCCCAATTTTACCCCAAATGCAGATTGCAGAATCACATCGGTTACACATCCACATTTTTACGTAATGCCCTATTAGTAACTGTTGTATTCTGCTACCTTTCCTATCCTCTACTATCCCCCCTCCCCTCCCCTCCCATCTTCTCTCTCTACCCCATCTACTGTAAT